TCCTTCCCGGGCCCCGGGGGCGCATCCCGGCCCCGATGGCACCTTGTAACGGGGTGGCTGCCCACGTGCCCGTTCCAAACCCCCCCTTCCTCCTGCCCGTGCTCCCGCCGGCAGCACCAGCTGCTTCGGAGACGGACAGACCGCCACGAGAGAGGCAGAAGGATCCCCCGGCCTCGCCAACGCGTGGGTAGGGCCGGGGGCTGGAAGTGTCTTTATCCAGGTGTGTAAGAGGCGAGGGGGGTGCATCACTTTTTGTCTCAGCTTTGGACTGTCGTATAGTCCCTGTTACCAGGAATCCCTGAGAAATCAGCTTAACCTGTGCAGAGGTGAGGTGTGAAGTGAGTGTGGATGAGAAAGGAGCCACACCTGGGAACAGGTCCTACAAGGAGCCGGTGTTGGGACTCTCCATCCTGATGGTCTGAAGTGGAGAAGGTGTGAGGCAGCCTACAGCTGGGCTTGATCTGATCAACCCTGTCACCCAGAGGGGCTCTTTGTCACCTCTCTCCTTGACATACTGGGCAGCTGTGCAGTTACAGTCAGTACCTGCTTTATACCCAGCCCTGAGTGGATGACAAAAGCATCTCCCCAGGCTGCTTGTTTTATATTCACGTGCGTTCATTGCAGTCTCCTGTTGTTTTGGCTGTATTACTCATAGGGATAATGATGCTCTCAGAGTCCTGGTGCTTTGAGCAGAAGGTACAGGAGAAAGGTGGCATGGAAAGAAAAATCACATTTTCCCTTGGAGCAACTTCTGCATTGTGAAAAAAGATGTGCTGGTGGTGAGTTTTAACCTGGTGAGACCTGCAGGAGTGTTGATGTGTACAGCTTGTAGCTTCTGCTGCTGCGCTGCCAACAGGCACTTTGGATATTTGGTTGGATTGTTTGTCCATGCAGAGGTCTGTGTTATTGTGTCTTTACTGGCAAGTAGGTGCTGAATGAAAGCTACCGTGGACATGCTTAGTCTTATTTGAGGAACACCTTCCTTTGCAGTGTAGATGTTGCCCACTGCCTGAAAAAAAAACCAAACAAACTTCTCTGCTTTTGCATTGCTTATCTCTTGGAATATGCTGAATAACTTCTGCTCAGAGAAGCTGTATCTTCTGTGATTGGTATAACCTGTTAAGTAGGTAACATTGCATAGTAAGCACTAATGCTTAGAATCCCAGTGGAGCAGCTTTTTACCTTTATGGCTTGCATTTATTCAGTGCCAGCTTCAAACATGGAAGAACTTATTCCCTTTCAACTCTGCTTTGTCCTGGTATGTTTGCAGATGCACTTGTGAGGTGCTGGTGTGGATTGTTTAAAAAGCCATGAGCACTGTGGGAAGGTACATGTCAAAACAAACATGTTGCTCTTTTACTCTGAGACAATATTAGTCAATGCTTTTTTTTTTATAGTAGGAGAGCCACTTGACCTTTTGTGAGGAAGTAAATCCAGAGACAATATAGTGTCATAACAGCTTTCACCTGTTATCCAAGAGAACTTGGACTGTGCTTTGAGCATTCACCTGTTTTACCTCATTATGTCTGTTCTTGTGTGTTCTTACAATACTTTTTAGTGTGCTCTTCCCATGAGTTAGAAGCCATCTGCCCTTAGCAGGCTGAGGAAAACCTTCCAAGCAGCTATTTGACAGGCAGGTATAACTATGTCTGAGAAGAGGAAAAACCAATAATCTGTGTATACTAACATTTTTGTTTGATGTTTATTTTTAGCAAGAGCAGTCAGAGCTTTCCCAAGGACTACTCTGGTGCTATGAGAACAGTCTTCCAGTTTCTTGACAGAAGTATGTTTCCCTTCATCAAAGGTAGTAAGACCTGTAGCTGAAATGCCCTGATTCTTTCAGTACTGTGTTCTTTATGTTATTTTTCTCTATTTTCAAAGCAACTCTTCCATCTTAATTTAACCTTTGTCAGGCATATTATTTACCATTGGAACATGTGGAAAACCAGAACTAGTAAAGGCTTGGGATACGTGAAAACTAGCCAGTGAGGTTGGGTGCCTTAGTGACAAGCCTGTACCAATTCTTGGCTTAGGATGGACGTTTTATGTTGAGGGTGGCATCTTTTGGGGTCCTGTAGTCCTCCATAATTTTGAGATCCACTGCTAAGAAACCTTGTCCCTCTTTTGTTAAATTAATTTTAAAGAAAGTCACTGTACTACTTGTTCCTTGCCCCTCTTTCACTTCCTTTCTTTGTTTTTGTGTAATAGCTTTCATTGTATTTGGAGAGGCCTCACCCAGAAACAAGACACCTGGATTCTGTTTCTCAGAATCTATTCTCTGATTCTCTGAGAATAGGCAGACTTGCATGTCCGGCCTCCTGGGAGAAGGTCCTAGTGCCATCTGTTTTTAAACTTAATTACCATATATGAAATATGCAAATTGCTGTAGTGGAAGCCAGAGCTCAGGCTTTGTCTTTCCCAGGTAGTTACTTTAATTACTGGGCTAAAGAGAGTTGGTCTGTTTCACATTCTTCCTTGCAGCTGATGCTCTTTTAAGGTAGGAGATAAAGGTTTGGATCCCTTCAGACTGAGGAAGGCATAGAACAGAATTGGATGATAAACTCCCCTTATCTAAACTGGGCCCCCTCTGCTGCAGCAAATTTCTTTTAAAAGTGACTTGGCACAGTTGCATTGTATAAGGAACTTGCTTTTGTTTGCGTGTGGCCATGCTCTGAGAGTGTTTGCTGAACTAAGACATTGTAGAGCCTGGTTCCTGGAATAAGGGTAGGTGGGAGATAAGCATTGAGCTAACAGGGCTGTGACAATTTAGGCAAATGTAGAGTTTTGCTTTTGTCTTTAAAGTACTCTTGGGCAGAACAAGGTGCTGCTTGAACTGTTGCAGCCCTTCCTGAGTTTAGATGATGCCACAAGAAGCGTGCTTAATCATAGTGTTGAAATCAGACAATTCATTTCATTTTTCAGAACTTCTGTGTAGCTGTGAACATCTTGATTGTTCATCTTTTCCACTGACAAAAGATAGGATGTTGTTTCTGCTATGATGGAGGAAGGAGTTGAGCTCAGGTAGGGCTATATTTTGACAATGGGGCAATTGAGTGATGATGCAGCTTTTAACTGAAATACACCTTGGAGACATGGAACAGTGTGACTTCTCATGGGATTTATAAGACTTTATAGGATGCCAGAAGAGGATAAGCTGTCTGCGCAAGTTCTTCTGTGTATTGAAAGACTGGAGGCTTGTGCTGTGTGCTAGCTTACTGCACCAGTTAACAAAACCAGTTCATGTGGCTTGCTTCTCTTCTGGATACAAAATGTTGAAAGGACAGGTCTGTGTGAGGGTGAACTTGTTACTGATAGGAAGGTGATTTTTGTGATCTTTGGACAAATAACAGAAGGAGTTTGCAATGTGCATGGTGAAGCCACAAAGCAAAACAGATTTCATGATGGTATGGTCAGGACTCAAACAGCATTCTGGCTGCAAGGGTTGAACCTTAGTCTCTGTGAAATCAAAGCAGATAAATGAACCTCTGCAAATTCTGCATTTACCCATGGGGTTCAAGAGAAATCAATATTATTCTGCCACTTGCATTACTGATAAGAGACTCTAAGCACATAGCCAGTGGTGTTGTATGCTCCTTTTGCAGTATTGAGATTTCCCTTATCTCCCTTCTCATACAGTAGTGGGACAAACCACACTTCACTGTTTTGCTAAAATGACTTCCAGAGTGAGGCAGTTGCTGTGGTTGGATGGATAAAACATTTCTGAAGTGTCACTTAGGTATTGATCTGCTGGTAGGCTACTCACAACTAATGTGTAGCACTTTTTTTCTTCTTTAACGGCAAGTATTTGAAATGAAACACACCTCTTGTGTGTATTAAAATGAAAATACTGTTTACAAAACTAGAATGTGACTTATTGGAATAGAGTTTTCACAATGCAAGATAGGTGTGCTGGACTTTACAAACTTTGATACCTTGAAGAGTTACTCTGTAAAAATGTGAGTTTTTAATCAAATAACCAGGATAACTAACAAATTAAATTCTAGATATGCAGATATATCTTGTCTCTTATATGGGGAAGCTACTAAAGCAGTACTTTATCAGCATTATTTTCTGGGCACTGTGACTAAATGTCTGTTAATATTGCATTTAAATATCTTTCCAGAAAGTCTGATTGCACTGCAGTCAGTGTGATTGTCTTTCTGTATGCTGATACTTGTAAGAATATTTAGATATTTGACTTCTTAGAGAAATACCAAGAAATAATCTGGCTGAGTCTAACTTCAAGGTTATATGTTGATGTTTCTACTTTCCCCCCCCCCCTCCCCAGTCACTGGATTATGAGCAGTGCATAGTGTCTGTCATGTGTCTGATGCTCTACTGCTTTACTTGGAGAGCCAGTAAGGTAAGAGTTTGTAGACCAAGATCATTCAACAGACACTTATAAAGCTCAGTTTTGAATGAAGCAATGCACTAGGACTTGAGTGTCAGTACATGGCCAGAGGCTACTACAAACTGTAGATGAAGAAAGCAGTTGTGTTTCTGCCTTGTGAGAGCACTTGCAGTACTAGCACCAGTTTCTACTCCCTTGCCTGCAGCTCTGTCAAATTCAACTGCCATTTGGCAAAACTCAAGGTAGTTAACTCCAGAGTTTCAGTCAAACCCTAAGATAGTGTAAATACAACTGGTAAGTGAGTGTGCATGCAGAAATGTAAGAACATTCTCCTTAATTGGTTGTTGTAGGTAGATTATGGGGTCTGCCTCTGTCTTTCTGATATCAGAAGTTCAATCAGTTGTTTACAGCCTTTGCTATTCCTTTAACACTGTGGTAAGTTGACCCTGGCTGGATGCCAGATGCCCACCAAAGCCTACTCTATCACTCCCCCTCCTCAGCTGGGCAGGGGGAGAAAAATATAATGAAAGGCTTATGGGTCAAGGTAAGGACAGAGAGAGAGCACTCACCAATTATTGGCACAGGCAAAACAGACTCAACTTGGGGAAAAAACCCAAATTTTAATTTATTACCAATCAGATAAAAGGATGATGAGAAATAAAACCAAATCTTAAAACACCTCCTCCGACACCTCCCTGCTTCCCAGGCTTAACTTCTCTCTTGATTTCCACCTCCTCCCCCAGTACAGGGGGACAGGGAGTCTGGGTTATGGTCGGTTCATCACACGTAGTTTCTACTGCTCCTTCGTCCTCAGGCAGAGGACTCCTTCCCCTGCA